ATCATTGTTTTTAATGAGCTAACAATGTCGTGGAGGAGTAACAGTTATTATACATTTTGCTACATGCAATAAAAGAGATAATGTGTGGGCACTGAGATTTAAAAAATCCACAAGAAAAAAACAGAGTGAACAGATGGGGAGTCTTCTCTGATGAGGTAATATTTTTGCTAATCTTTTGATAGGCAAGGAGAAGTTTACATGCGAAGGAAAAGAAGTTACTTCTGGTCATAGAGAAAAGAGCGGAGACGTGAATTGGCCTCAGTAATTTGGGGACCTCTTGGCATGATCATGGACAAATTAAAGATCTGTGAGACTGGCACATGTAAAACACCCAGCATTAACATTCAACAGCTTTCGACTTCCTACAAATTTTCTTCAGCAATCCATTTCCATGGTCATACCCTGGACCTTGTTTTTATTCCCTTACTTGTTCAACGAATATTTACCAAATGCCTACCTATGTATGCCAGGCACTGTTCTGATCCTCAGGGAACAGTGGAGAAAGGACAAATGAGATTTCTGCTCTTGTGATGTATATATAGTCAGGAAACACCAACAACAAATAAGAAAAACTAGGGAACAGCAGATAGTCATAAAAGCCATGCACAGAATTAAATAGGATTATGCAACAGGGAGTTACTAGATTGGGTGGTTAAAGGGAACTTGTACGATGAGTTATTATGTAAGCTAAGACCCGAATGACCAGTAGGAATAAGCTATATGATGATTGGGTAAAAATACTGTATTCTGAGTGTACAATTACTGTAAAGGTCAGAAAAGAGGACGAGGAAGAAGGCCAGAGGATGGATGCACGGTGGACAGGGAGGGAAGTGGTTATGCGATGATGTCAGGGAGAGAAGCAGAGGCCAAGTGAAAGGGAGTGCAGGCCAGAGTAGCAAGTTAAGATTGTATTGTAAATGCAGTGGGAACCCATTAGAGGGCTGAAAGTAAAAGAGTGAGTAGCATGATCCGATGGATGGCTTTGAAAGGTTACTCTGGCTGCTTACGCAGAGAATGGGTTGTGAGGGGCTAGAGTAGAAGTACAGTATCCCGTTAAATAATACTCTGGAGGCTTGAGAGGTCAAGGTGACTTGGATAAAGGTAGTAAGAAGATGTGGAAAGGTGGATATATTTGGGATACATTTTGGAGGTAAAGCAGACAATCCTTCTGAGTCTTTATTTGGGGAAACAAGGCAGATAGTGGTTTAATTTACTGAGGTGGATGGGAATGGGCTGAATTGGTTGTGACACTGTAACAAGAGTGTCATTTTGGTCGTGATAAGTTTGGGATACACAAATGGAAATGTCAAGTAAGAAAATGTGAGCCTGGAGTTCTGAGGGAAGTCAGGCGCAGCTACCATGTCCCTGTGCACGTTGTGCACTTTTAGAGTGAAGCAATACAGGGTGTGTATGGCCTAAAGGATGTCGCTAGCATATGTTTGGGAATCGTTAGACTATATGGTATTAAAGCTATGGGAATGAATGAGATTATGGCAAACTCCAGATAATAATTTTTAATTGTTACTCAAAATGAAGCAATGATGCAAAATTTTCAAAATTCGTCTTTAATTCTTTATCAAGAGCCAGTTCAAATAATTTATTCTGAAGCTCTAGCTCAATTTAAATTATGTTTTGATGAAAAAATTGGGTTTCAGATAAGCAAAGTCTTTTGTATACCCCTTCTTTTGATGAACAATAAAATTCAAGACATGCTCTCAAATTTGTAAAGTATTCATTGCTGATATTTTGACGTGTGTAATATCAGGATTACCTATGCCATTCATAATTGTTTATATAAGCCACCTAGTATCTCTTCAAATACTTTCATGATTTTTGTTGCTTTTCATTAGTTTTTTTTTTTTACATATGTCTTTTATCCATCTGGAATATATTTAGTATAAAGTAGGAAGAAAGAATCTAAATTTATTTTATTTTGAATCTTAGCCAGCTATCTCAAAACACTATATAAACAACCCTAGGCTTATTGATCTGCAATGCCATATGCCATGTTCCCAGGTGGATCCTAGGATCTATTTCTGGAATCTATTCCTTTCCAGCAATCTTATTATGATCCGGGTCATGTTTTTATATCAAATTCAAATTGCATATAGATCTAAAAATTCCCATGTTACAATATCTGCACATTTATCAAGTTGCAGTGAAAAATACTTTGCTAGTGTTCCGTGAAGTTCTTCCATACTATAAGCCAATTCCTGTACCTACTGAGCCATGTGTCATTGAAAAGTTATATGTTAGCTACCTTCTTTGTTTCATATTCTGTCAACATTTCCAGGCAAACTTTTTAGAAAATGTAATTTTTTATAGATTTATTATAAACCTGACAGATTTATAAAATAAAAAAAGACTTATTATAAATCACTATCAGAGTTTATGTAGAAGAAATTATGTGGAAAATAGCCAATTTTATAAAATAGTTATAGAAAGAAGACTTTTCATTACCAAATATAAAACATGATGATAATATAAAGAAAAAACTATTTTTTCAGCTCCATTGCCAACAAACACAAGGAGGTTTATAATGTATAAAACTATGAATAACTATATTGTCAACCAGTGTGGTCTGGAGTTTAAGTCTGGTCACAAATAAGTTCTGATGATCCAGCTGCAAGAACAGGAAAACATTCTAGAATAGTTATCAAAAGATGAATGAGCTGTACCAGAGTCTAAACTGACACATTGACTCCTTTGTCAAGAAGTCTAACTTCAAAAAAGTCAATGGAACTAAAGAGTAACATAAAATAGTAAAACTTTTAATTCTGTAAAGGCAATGTGTTAAGTCTAGGATTATTTTCTCTTTTATGTGACAGTATAGAAGCTGATAACTTCCTGTTGTTGCAGGCTGGAGAACTGTGGTTATCAAGGGGAAAGTTCTGTTAAGAGAGTATACATTCTTAGTTTTCCTGCAAGGCATGAAACCAGTTTGGTCTAACTTCTAAAGAATTTTCAACTCTTTGAAGATGTTGATCATAATCCCTGTAAGAGAGAAATGCAACTGGCTTTTTAATGGTAGATAATATCAAAAGCCACCTGGGTGTCTGTAGGCACCTTAAATTTAACATCCTCAATTGAAGTCACTACTTTTTTTTTCTTCCAAACCTCTTCTTCCTACTTTTCTTTTCTTGATAATTGTACCACCTCCACCTTATAACCTAAGCTAGAAACACAAAAATTAGGCTTTGCCTGTCCCTTGCCTTACTTCTATATCTGATCACCATCCAAGTTGTGTTGATTTTACTCCCTTGCTTCATATATGCTCCTTCTAATGGCCCTGATTGCTTTTACGTAAGTTAGGTTCTGATCCTCTTACCTTGGACTTCTTTCTCTTCACTAAGCAACCCATTCATCAGCCTGCCACCAGAGGATCTTTACCAATGCAAAATTCCTCATGTTACTTTTCTATCAAAAGCCGTTTGTGGGCTTTCCTTTACCTGTAGGAGAAATCCTAGTCTTCCAAGTGGCATCCAAAGCCCTCTCTAATCTGGCCCCTGTTTGTCTCTGGCTTCAGACCTTTACGCTCCCCCTGGCATGCCTCACTACAACCCCACCTGACAGCTCGAGGTGCTTGGGATGCTCTGTTTTGCTTCAGATCTTTCTGCCTTCACTCACACTTAGAATATCCTCCCACCATTTTTTTTGACAACCTAATCATCTTTCACGATTTAGTTCAAACTTCATCAGCGTTGGGCAGCATTTTCTATCTTTACCCAACCACAGAATAGTCACATTCTTCCTTTGTATTCCTACTGTGGATCCCCTTTTTACTACGGCACCCACAAAACTGTTTTACCTATTTGTTCATCTGCTTCCCTAATAGACTGGAAGCTCTTTAAGTCAGGAATCTTGCATATATTTTTTTATTCCTAGCATCTAGCAATGCCTGCACAATTTAGGCACTCCGTAAAAATTCTTTGAATGAATGAGTTAATAAGTGAGAAGTTTCAGAGGCACAATGGAAAGTGTCAGAGAATGCAATCATGTTAAAATCATGGTCAGAGGAAGATACAGGGCAATACAGTGATGAGAATAAGGAAAAGGAAGATTTACTAAGGGGATTTGACTTTGTATGGTGATTGAGGATAGAGGCATGGTGTGAATAACTGGCTTTAAGCTTCTGACTAGAATTCTGGTATAAGGTTATTCCATTGCTATAGACATTCAGCGGGTAGTTGAGATCAAATGAAGTTAGCTGGATATCATCCAGGTTGCAAGTATTGACACAAACATCAGATTTTTATAACAGGTGCTTTATTTAGTGCTTTACAGTATGCAAAATTCTCTCCTTCTCTATTTGTCCCTTAGAATAGTGATCTCCCTAAACTTCAGTTTCCTTTTTGTTAAAATGAAGATAGTAGCTATTTCTTAGGATTGTTAGCAAGATGTGTTATATGTCTGGTGCACAACTAAATACCAAATATGTTGTTAAATCAGGAATTTGAGGCCCCTAATGGTAAAATGACTTAATCAAGGTCACAAAGATAACTTAGTAGCAGATTTAAATTCTAATCTTATTGTCCTCCCATTACAGTATTTTTATTACTCTCCAGCGTAATGTGATATCTTCTACTTACTTCGTACACAGCATCTTTAATTTCCTTGAGAGGCCTTTGCAAAAGTAGGCTGTGTAAGTACTCTATCAGAAAGCTGATTGCCAAAATCAAGCAAAACTATAACTTGGCAAAAACCAAAACACAAATATAAACAATGTTTTTAATAGCTTGCAATTTATGCTTGATGGTTTTCAGCGGAGAATCTGAGCAGGCTGGTTTCTGCCTCCGTGAAGTTCTGTGAAGACGTGCTCCCATTTTCATTGATTTTTAAACTGGTTTTTAAGTCCAGTTTTATGCCAAGAGCATGTATAGTTTGGGGCCTTAGAATTAAGGTAACAGGCTTGGGGAGTGGGGGTGGGAACAGAAGGAAAGTGAGTCTGAGCTGAAGCCGGCACTGCTAGCCACACCCATTTTTCCTTGTGTTTTCTGTAGAGTTCTGTCCAGGAAGAATCTGGAAACACGAAATATGAACTGGAGATGAAACTATTAAGTGAAACAGTTTCAGCAGGTAGTCTTCTAACTTACATTTTTAGAATTTAACTTTATTGGGATTTTCTACTTACAAAAGTAACACAAGGCCATTGTAAAAAAAATTCAATGTTTCAGAAACATATTTAAAATGAAAATTCTTCATAATCCCTCTTCTGAGGTAACCAATAGTAACGAATTTATTTGTGCTTGTTTCTTCTCCTGTTTTTCTCTCTCTTGATTTTTAATAAAACCATGGGATCTTATACAAATATTTTTGTTGAAAATTATTTTTTTAACCTAACAGTATTTGTTATGCTACATACTGTTCTACATACATACATAAAACTTAATACATCATATTACTTAAATGAATCATATTCAACATTACTCTAAGTCAGAACCCATTGGTAAACCTATCTTTTTAGAAGCTCTATAATTTTATACAAAATGGAACATTATTTAAATCTTTATTGATAGATGGTAAGGTTATTTCAATTTTTTTATCATTACAAACAATGTTGCAGCAAACATTCACGAACAGATATATACAATCGGAAATTTCTCAATCTTACCCTAACAAATAGCAATTAGATATACTGTATTTTGCCATGTATAGCATGCACCCACATTTTGGGCCCAAAGTTTCAGGAAAAAAAATAATTTTAACTTTTTAATTCAATTTTTAATTTATATTTAGAAACAAAACCTATTATCACATTCCAGGGTATTGTTTTGCATACAGATATTATTATTACTTTCTAGAGTTACCTGTTTAACACATAAGCATAAATAAAAGAATTACAATCATTTATATAGATGAGGAATTAGTACTACTCATGTATAAAGCACATCCACATTTTTCCCTCAAAAATTTGGGTAAAATGTGCACATTATTCATGGCAAAATACAGTAGTTTAAAAAACATCAAAATGATGGTGATGTGTAATTTGCAATCTTTTACTTTGAGATTAATGTACATCTTTTCCATTAACTTGCTTTCCCAGTTGCTTCTAAGTAATCTATTTCCTATATATTTCTAAGCATATTTTTTCATAACAGGCTTCTTATCTACTTCTTTCCTTTTTCTAAGATACTTTGGTTTCTGCAAAAACTAGGCCTTTATGTCTGTAATTTTCTATAATCTTTATCAGGTAATTTTCCTGTTAAAAATATGATACTATAGTTCATTGATAACCTTTGTCAATAATACCAAAATTTTCTACATGATGGTCCCCGATTAACATGTCATAGATGTCTAAATTTGGACACAGTATACTTTCTTTTCAGATAAATGGACTGGTAATTAGACACATTTGAAAATTAATTAAAGTCTGCATTTTATTGAATGTACACAAGGAAAAAAGGGAAATTGCTTAACTGGAATTCCCTTTGGCTGTTTCCATTAATTTTCAGTGCCTGATCTCCAAGGGTTAAATTCAGTGCCATCTCCATGGGCTTCCATTTATGGGAGAGGAAAATTGTAGTGATAAGTAATAAGGCCAATAGTTCCTGAGTTTTTATGTCTGGCACGCGTTCTGAGCTCTTTACATATATAAACTAAGAATTCCCCCAAATTCTGTAAGATAGATTCTACTTTTATATCCATTTTGTAGAGGAAGGAACTGAGATGTTAATCAACATGTATTGCATAAGGGTGGGACCTGTTTTCTTTCTTACTCATTGCACTGGACTGAAAGAATTTTTAGTGAAAGGCAGGGATGGTCCCAGTGATATGTGACTTCCGATAGTCCCCTGATTGTGCATTGGGAACTATGAAATCATAGAATTCCCCATAAAATTTCTGAGTGAGATTATCCAATCCAGTTTCTTCACTCTCATGCCGCCATCCCTGTTTTTTCAATGAGCCGGGCCTCTCTTTGTTGAGAAAAAAATTAGCTTTATTTTATATATACACAAAAACTTATTTTTTTACCATTTCCCTTTTTTTCTTTCAGATATTTAGCCCCATAAGGTCCAATTTTAAGAACGGTTACCAAATTTTGTGTTAAACCATGTTTAACCTTTTAGAATGAAGGGTAGCAGAATATGCTGCCCCCAAATATGCCACATTGGCATAAAGATTATTGTAAGCTGAAAGCAAAGGAATAGATATAGGTGCAAGAAAAGCGCCGCCCCCGGCCCCCCGCCCCCGCCGCTGCTTCTCCTATTTGCCTAAAAGCAGGATATAGATGCTCGGAGGTGCCCCTCCTGTCCTCACTAGTAGGACGGGCAGAGCTGAATTCTCAGAGACAACTATAGCCCCCATCAGCCTGGAGAGGGCACCAGAGGAATCTACAAATGAAACTGCCAACTAGCCTTTATCGCCACCCCCGGACACCTCCAACTGCTTTTGTTTGTCCTGCCATTTTACTGCAGATTTGTAAAATGTGAACTGGAGTTCTAAGCCACCTCTTTGAATTACTTATTTTTCCCTGGCGATATCCCATGTATATGTGAGGCATGCATGTTAATCCACTTCTGTTTTTCTCTTATTAATATGTCTTTTATTACAAGTGTCTGAGCCAAGAACTCACAAGGGTAGAGGGAAAATTATTTTCACTCCCCTCCAATGAGAGATATATTTTAAAGTTTTTCTTTCAATAACACATGCTTGTTGTATACAAATTTCTAAAATGTTAGCATATAAAATATGAATACAGCCCTCCCTGCACCCTAATGCCGTTACTCGTGCCTGTTCCCACTGCAATGGTCAGCTTTGTGGATAGTTTTGAATTAATTACTTTATTGGAAAAGTTTTAATAGCTAAATAAAAACTTTCTTTGCTATCACTAGATATTTTTCATTTCCCTCCTAAAAAAATAAAAAATCTTAGCATCTGTTTAGAAATGGAACTAACCTGATTAATTTTAGCACACCTGTTGCTGCTGGAGAATGCTCCTGAAAGGCCGTATCTCTTTGAAGAAAATGAGGTTGATATATTCCAGTTCACAACTCTTGGTGGAGTGTATCACTTGGACATTTTGGAGCTTCCCCCGCAGAGTAAACCCGTGAAGGGCTGGGTGATTATGGAAGTAGGTTGATGCTTAAAATTTGTGAGTAAAATAATTTCTCATACTTCTCCTGTATAGCAGATGTTCTAACACCCAATGAACTTTAACTCTATTTAGCAAGCGCAAAAGAAAAAATGTAATTTTAAAACATCTTGAATCCATAAAATTTGAATCACTACTAAAGGGAAGGGTTCAAAAATAATATGGATTTTAAAACCAGAAATTATGCATGTTAACTTAATTGTGAACCTATAACACTACGTTTACATGGCGTCAATTTGGCCTTAATAATGACAGTCTGTTTCAGAGGCTGGAAAAGGGTCCGGTGGTAAATATTTTCATCTTTGCTGCCATACCAGCCCTGTTGCAGCTCCTCAGCTCTGCCATTGCAACGCTGAAACAGCCCTATGTGAATGAATGGGCATGGGTGTGTTCCAGTTAAACATTGTGTACACACACTGGTGGTGGTCCATATTTTCCAGGGACCATAATTTGTGGGCTCTGGTCTAGATTAGTGGTTCCCGACATGTGGCCCTTTGACCAGAAACATCAGCGTTCTCTGGCGTCATCTAGGAATTTGCTAGAAATGCAAATTCATGGGGCCCACCTCAGTGTTAGTGAATCAGAAATTCTGGAGGTGTGAGCCTCAGCAGCCTGTATTTTAGCAAAACACATCTAAAGAGCCACTGGTCTGGATCCTTGATATACAAAATGTGGTTTATCAATCAGCAGCATCTGAATGCATAATTTGGGGCTTCCCTCTGGCCTCCTGAACCTGCCTTTAACAAGGCCCTCGGGTGTCTCAGGTGCACAGCGAAGCCTGAGAACCACTGATCCAGGGGACGCCAGTGCTCCCGTTGCACGGACCACGCGTGGAGTAAGGATGCTGATGGTAGCAGTTGTTAGATCATCTGCCAAGGAGTTTCTCACTTCTGTTTTAGTGAGTAGTGATGTTTGCGCTAGTATTGAGTTGGTTAAATTTTACCTCCCAGGCTTGGGTCCCAGATATACCCAATTCTTTCTCGTAGCCCATCCCTCTTCGTGCTCCACTGCTCTTCTTTTCTCTCTTCCTCTCTCTCTCCTCTCACATGACAAATACACAGATTGCCAGCCACTTCTCACCTCCACGTTAGGACGTTGGCACATTCTTGTATTAGAGGAGTATTTCTCAACGTTTTTTTCCCCATTATCACCTCTCTAAGGAGCTCTTACACTTTTTTCTCTAGCTGACCCCCCATAGAATTTTAATGCCACAGAGAGACTGTGTATACGTTGTGTACACTTGTGCTTTATACATAAAAGAATAAGATTTTTTCCACACTCCCAAACTAATTTTTAGCCTATTGGGAATGATATTGTTATTCCATTCCCCTTCTCCCCTCAAACGAGAATGCGTTTACTAGAGCAATCCTGGGTGAGAGAATCTGATCAATTGCCACTTTGAAAAATCTGTTTGAATCAATGTGCCCCACCATGGGGATACTTGCAAGATAGTGGGGAGTCCAAGAAAGGCATTCCTTTGATGCAGGTAGGGTCTCGGCCTTGTCTGGGGTTTTCAAGGCTTCATCCTAAGGTCTTGGTCAGGATGTCCTGCGGCGACCTCTCTGTGCTCTCCATCTGAGCCCAGGGTCTCCTCCCTCACACCCATTTTTTTCTCTCCGGCAACAAAGAGGCCTTCCTACTTTTTTCAAGTATCTTTTCAATAATTTCTCCCCTCCTCTAGAATTTTCCTCATACAGTTTTTGTTCTCTATTTTGTAGTATTTTTAATCTTTCCCCTTCCTGAGGTCTTTTTCTACATTTAGATACATGGTACATTTAGAGAATGGACAGATCTCCCTTATCCTGGAGAAATCTGCTGTTGGTTTAATTTATTTTATTTTTCCCCCCAGCTTTACTGAGATATAATTGACATGTAAGTTTAAGGTGTACGCTGTGATAATTTTTACCTTCATCCATTCATTTCTACATTTGTTACACTGCTTATACTTTTTTCTTTCCTCCCCTGCATGCCATGGCTAAGGTATTGGAACATGGGATCGGGGGTCCCATAGCTCTGTTTCGGAGTTCTGATGCCTCCTTGAAGTCATTTTGTAATCATTGGCAAATTACATGATTTATGTAAGCCCCACTTCTCTTCTTTGTTTAAATTTTTTTTTTAATTTACAGTTTACATTCAATATTATTTTGTATTAGTTTCAGGCGTACAGCATAGTGGTCAGACGGCCATATCCTTTAGAAGGTGTTTCCCCCGATATTTCCAGGACCCAGCTGGCCCCTTACATAGTTATTACAGCATGTAATAACTTTACATCCCCATGACTATTTTGTAACTGCCAATTTGTACTTCTCAATCTTTTCATTTTTTTTTTCACCCAGTTCCCAGTCACCCTCTTTGTTAAATATAAGCCTGTAGAATTGCTTGGAGGAATACGAAGCTGAGTAAGTCCCAACCTAGAACTTGGCCCATAAAAAGGTTCTTTAATTACATTCAAATTGAGTGATTACCCCCCCCCATCATTATCTTTTAATTTGGTTCTGACATTTTGTTAGTCAGTCTATAATTAAATGGGGCCAAACTTCAGTGTGGGGGGCAAGCACTGGGTGGAAAGGGCAAAGGGGACGACATCTCTAATAGTGTCGACAATTAAAAAAATAGTAACTATGTAGTTATTTGGCAATATTTACATCTTTAACTGTTACCAGTCAGCTTCTAACTTGGTATTGTTTTGGTTATTTTTAAAAGATACTCAGAGAAGGATTACAGAAATACATATATCCTCCAGCAACTACAGAAGACCTTGAACCTGAAAATGCTTTCCCACCGATAGAAGTCATGCTTGAGGTTCATGAGAACGTGATCTTTTTTGAGGACCCTATGGTTGCAAGATGGGATGCTGAAGGTACAGCATTATCTTTAACCAGCATTGATTATTATGCAATGACAAAAGGTGTACTAATATACATCTTTAAATCAATACAGGAAATGCAGCATATAAACTATTCTTACATATATCTATACTGGTTCAGGGGTCTATGTTTTATTTACTCTCAGTGGAAATAAACAGGGATTGGAGTTTAAAAGTTTATTGAACTTTATAACTTAGTGTTCATATCTGCCATAATCTCTGAAGAATTACAATTCAGGATGTGGTTAAAATTTGATTATTTTAATGTTAATGATTTACAACTTATAAATCTTATTACAACCAATTATTGAAGTATTGGGGATGGGAAGTAGATAAATGGGAAACCAACGAAAGAAGAAAACTAGCTACTGTGTACCTCTTTAAAACTTTTAATTGTTGAAACATAGGAAAATGTTGCATATTCAAATGTTAAATAAGCATCATAAATCAGAAGTACTAATAGAAATACTAATGAATGATTCACTAATCATTACTATTGCCAACAGATAGTATTTTGGCTTGGCTGGCTAAACTTTGAAAGGTCTTGGTGTTGTGAATTAATGTATATGCTGTTTCAAGGCTCCTAGATGATAGCTGTATAGCATCATTTTTAATGGGAATTATTTTACAGTCACCTATTTACTCTTGAAAGGACTTACATATTTGGTGATAGGTTGGAAACAGTTTAGATCACTAAATAACAGAACTACTATTTAATCTATTTATTTAGTTGTGGGGACAAAGAATTTAGGAACTTCTCTACCAAGAAGGATAAATTTTGTGGACTTAAAACATTTTTATGGTTGCTATAATATTCCATGCTTTTGCTTGTGTATACATAGTTACAACATAATATTTATATTCTAAAATGAGCTTATGTGTTATAAACAGTAGATTTCTATCAATACATTAAACTCTAAAATACATCAAAATAAACGATTAGGTAATTTCTTCCTTTTATGCTGCTTTAGAAGTTTTACTTTCCCTTTCCTTTAATGATAATGTTCCTAAATATTTATCATATTAAAAATTATTCACACTAAATTAGAATTAGTCAAGATAAATTATTCACATGATATAGCAAAATATAACTTGTAGAATTTGATTTCAACCGTAGCCACGAGGCAGCATGCAACTCCACTATTTTTTAAACCATGAGGAAACTTTTCCCCTTGATGTAACAGAAGCGTGGAGAATCTATTTATATTCGATACTTAATTTTTACCTCAACAAATTACTTTGCTTAATATAAAAACAAAAAGGGGAAATAAAAATAACTTAGATTGTCAGTATAATTGTATTTGTTATATTAAAGGGTCAAACATAGTCAGCAGAGTCATCAACGTGAGAAGAGAAAGCCAAGTGGAAATGGAGACGACATTTTAGGAAAAGAACGATTCATTCATTTGCTGCACAAATATGCTCAACAATAAGAAGTACGGAGATAAATGAGTTCTTTCCTTTTGCAGTTTTCAAAGCTGTGGGGGAGGCAGACAGGGAAAAACATCCTAACAAAATGTAGTGAGGTGCTACCATAGATAGAGGTGCTGTAGAGCAGAGCAGTGACCGGCTCTGTCTGGAGAGTTAAGGACAAAATATTGAACAGGTCCTGAGGAGACTAAGAGAACGTTCTCATCCGAGACTTTGCGTGGGCCTATGCCTTCCATTTCTTGGGTATAATATACCTAGGAGTGGAATTGCTGAATTGAATGGTAAATTTATGCTAACTTTTAAAGAAACTGCCAAATTGCTTCTCAAAGTAGCTGTACAACTTTACATGCCTGCTAGCAATATGAGTTTTCTCAATTCCCCACATCCTTGCCAGTGTTTGTTATTCTTTTTTATTATAACCATTGTAGTGGGTATGAAGTAGTATCATGTGGTTTTAATTTGTATTTCTTTGATAACTGACAACGTTGAGCATCATTTTTTATGTATATATTATCCTATCATTTATCTTCTTTGGTGAAATGTTTATTCAGATCTTTTACCCATTTTTAAACCGGTGCCTTTCTATTGAATTCATTGGAGTTACACTGGTTAATAAAATTATATAGGTTTAAGGTATATGATCCTGTAATATACCATCTGTATGTTGTAATATGCACTCACAACCCCAGGTCATGTCTCTTTTTATCACCACGTATCCCCACTTTAACTGGGTTGTGTTTTATTATTAAGTTGTAAGAGACACAAAAGATCACCTATTATATGATTGCATTTATATGAAAAGTCCAGAAAAGACAAATCTTTAGAGACAAGCAGTATATTAATGCTTGCCTGGGGCTGGAAGGTGGGAATGGGAATCAACTATAAATGGACATAGGGAACTTATTGGGAAGATAATCCTGTTCTAAAACTGGATTGTGGTGATGGTTGTGTAACTAAGTAAATTTAATAAAATAATTTAATTGTATACCTAAGACAGGTAAATTTTAAAGCTGTTTTAAAGCAGATGAAAAGAGGTTCTTTAAAATATTAAGGATGCGTACTTTAGGAAGGAAGAACGGCATTCGCAGAGGCACAGAGGTGTATGAGGTCGCTGGGGCGGGGAAAAGAGTGCGGCTGAAGGTGTGAGGGGGGTGAGGGTGAAGCCGCCGGAAGTGTGAGCCACAGCGTCATCGAAAGGCCTTACATACGTGCTGGGGAGTCTGGACTTGATTCTGCAGACAGGAAGAAACTCCCAGCAAAGTGGACTTTTTGTTGAGGTTCTGTTCTAAATGTAAAAGATAAATGTATACATAATGCTGCTATTTGGATGGTTTCACTCAACTTCTTTCTGTACTAGGAAAAAAAATGTGACCTATGTCATTTTCTTCATTTATTCTAAAGGTAATCATTGGAAAACTGATGGCATCAGTAATGTATCTTACAAATCAGGAGAAAGACTTGTAACATTCAGCCTGGAGACTTTTGGCCCTGTTACTTTGATTCAAGATACTCATATTAACATGCCATACCAGTCATGGGAACTAAGGCCACTCGATGTGAATAAAGTGCTGTTGACTGTGATTACAGTATTTACTGAGATTCAAATACAAATTAAGGTAAATCACTGTTACGGCAAGTCATATCCAAGAGGTAAACCTCATTGATGACTGTGAGAGAGTGTGTCCAATCTATTGATCACTGGTAATTTATATGTTGAAATATTTTTTAATAAATATATTTAACATATACCTTGAGCTATAGTTTCTAAAAGAAATATTAATGAATAGATAGAAAATGATATGTAAATAAGTGAGGTACAAATTTATACCCTAAAGTTATTAAATAAGTGAGGTACAAATTTATACCCTAAAGTTATCAGGAATAGACCAATTAATGAATCAACAAGCCTGGTTGTGGTATGACTTTCTGAGAGTTTTTTGACCCACTCCTGAGAGGCTTCCTGATATTTATCACCAAGCCATTTGAAATCCCCTTTGAGATTTCTCTCTGAAGGAGCCTCTATTGCTCGTCAGTCATAAATTACATAGCCTGGAATTTAGAGACATAAAGTGCATTGGTGGTTGCCTGAGGCTGAAGGTGGGAATGGGGAGTAACTGTAAACTGGTGTGAGGGATCTTATGGGGGTGGGGAGACTATGGAAGCGTTCTAAAACTGATTTGTGGTGACAGCTGCACCATGCAGTAAAGTTACAAAAAAAAATCACTGCATGATGCACTTGAAATGGGTAAATTTATGGTAAGTAAAATATATCTTGCAAAAATTATTTTAAGAGAGATAGCCTGAAATTCCTTATAAGTATGGCAGAAAGACTAGATATCATCAAACTTTGCTTTTAAAAGCAGATGAGAGGTGTGAATTCTTTACACCTTCAACCTAGAGTTTAAACTTTGTAAACTTTAAAACTGTATGATAATTTTGCATTATTATGTTAAACCTTATATGTGTAAAAATTATCCTTAAAAGTTGTATCATGATTGCTATCAAATAACTATTATTATTTGATAGAAACATATGCAGTATTCTTTGGTTATAACTTATAAAATAGGAGCCCTGCAAGAGCCTTTAGTCCAATCCCTTGATTGTTCAGATTAAAGCCCAGAAATTGATAAAACACTTAAAGTAACAGGATACTTTGAGGTGGAGCTTTCAGATTGGTCCCAGAACATGTCTGTCCCACATTCTTTTTAATGTAGAAGGAAATAGGATTTTTAAAAGATGGTATAAAGAACCCAAAGGCTAGAACGAGAATGATAAGGACGTAATAATTTATTTAAAAGCTTTTTTTTCCTCATTGAAACTAGGAAGACCTCTGCATGTTAGCTTCAATCAAACTAAATAACAAAAAGCATTCCTCTATTTTGGAAGGAAAATGGATGACTCCTATTTCTTTCATTATTGCTTTGAAAGAAGCTGGATTGAATATCTTTCCTACTGGTCAATCTCATTTTTATGTTGCTACAAACTCTAAGGTAAGAATGAGCCTTTCCAAATTTAATGTAATGAACATTTAGAATGCTGGCAAGTATTAAATTTTATATAAATCTTAAGGTAAATCATGGGTGTTCTATATTCACTTATATAAGGTTATATAATTAGAAGGGAAGGAATAAATGGCAAGAAATTCAGAGTTCTCTCAAGTTGAATCATCTTCCCCAAGAAAGTAAGCCTGAGCGTGATCTTCACCCTGACAAATGGAGCCCAGCCACAGCTGGCTGGGGTTAGTGCAAACGTAGTCAGGGCACCTTCACATTTTATGCAGTTTCTTGCTTCTTCCAGACTGGATAAATGTAAGATTTCTTAAAAGAGTAAGCAACTCAGCAGTTTCCCAAACATGATAAGTTGGGTGAAATTAAACATAAACACGAAGAGCTGGTACACAAAGCCCACTTCCTCTTGTCTCTAGGCGGAGCCTTCTTGTCTACACGCTGCTTCATGTTACTCATAAGGCTTTAGAGAAATGAGATCCCTCCATGTTAAACTGTGAGCTCTCTGAGGATAGGGCCTGTTTTTTAGTTGATTTTGATTGATTCTTCTAGTGTCTAGCCTATTCCTAGAATACAGCAGATATTTAGTAAACATTTATGACATAAATGAAGACACAGTAGTTTCTAATCATGAAAGGTGTTTTGGGCAGACAAGTTCAATACTCAAGAACAACTTTATAATATATCAGAAAATAACAATGTAGGTAGACATTCATATAACATCCGAAAATAATTGTATCATTAAGAATGTGTATGTATGTAGGGAAAAAAAACACTTTGGTTTTAGTAACTCAAACTACCAGTTACTCTGCAAATGCTGAATGTAGTGTACTACTAATCTTTACAGAATATTCAAGAATTTCTTATTCTGAGCACCTATATTTTAGGCATTGTTTTATATGCTAAGATATGTTATTGAATAATTAAAAAAACTGGTTCCTGCCCTTGTGGAGCTTACATTCTAGTAGAGGGAGGCAAAACTAACCAATAAACATAAAAAAATACAATTAAATTATCTCATGTCGAAGATATGACATGACAAAGATAAAGTGCTATGGGAAAAAGAGAAGGTAGATCAGGAACACTGGGCTTAGGGCAGTGTACAGTATCAAACAGGGTATTGGGGGCCCAGTGTGCAGGTTCAAGGTGGGGAATTTAACCAAGTGGCTATGTGAGGAAGCAGCCTCCAGGCCAAGTGGCCTGGTGTGCTTGAATATTGGAGGAAAAGCAAGGAGGCCAAGCGCCTTGAGCCGAGAGAGTAAAGGAAGAAGGAAAGGTAAGGTCAGAGGGGATGGGGTATGTAGTGGGGAGCGTCAGATCACGCAGACCCTTGTAGACCACTGTCAGGACTTCAGGTCCTAGTCTGAGAGAAAGGAAAAACCATTACAGTTTTGAGAGGAGTCTTAAAATCTGGCTTACATTTTAAGTGGATTCTTCTGTGTTGAGAATAGACCAAGAATGGAAGGGAGAGTTGTTGAAAAGGCTCCATGATGAATTGTATATTTTTGTATATTGACAGGTACCTTTGGTAGAAATGAAAGCTTATCGACAAATGGCCCTGCTAAGTCCTGCTTTTGCATTTGGTTGGAGCAGGTGGAATGCACAATGCGATTCTAAAAAAATCGTATTTAAGGTATAGTATGCAAAAACCCATAACACTACTTTGTCCTCCAAACGAAAAGGTACTCAAAAGGTAAATGAATGTAGACCACGATTCCTCCTCTTAAAAAGGTGAAAAAAATTAACATTCCAAATGGAGTTTCAAAACTTTTAAAAAATTTTTGTCAAAAATATAAAACTAAGTTATGTAAAGGTTATGCTTTATTATGGAACCAAATGCTCTTGATTTCAGACTAGAGTCATTATACCTCTCTACAGTGCCTCAAGAACAAATGGAAACCTTTAACATGAATATATGTCTATGGTTCCCAAACTCTCCCCTGAGAGAGCGAGGCCTCCAATTTAACTCTCTGGCACATTTACTACTTGCCTGATAAATTCTAAAAGCTGACTGACAAATGTTTTAATGTAAATTAGCCACCATATTTATTTATCTTGTTTACTGTGTTTCTCCCACTAGAATATAAGCTCCTTTAGGACAATCATCAGCTATTGATTAATATTCAGTGTTTTTTCCTTTGTTTTATTGTTATTGTTATTACATTCCCCAACAACTAGAGTAGCATCTGGCACATAATAGCCACTGAATAAATATTTGTTGAATGAATTAATACATTTTGATAAGCTCTATAAGAACCAAAATTTGGGGGACTGGGTTGAGCCCTTTAATACTCAACTGCCAAAATAACTAATAAAAGAGGAACTATTAACAGATTTCTCTAATTTTCTTTCTTTAGGTGAGTGAACATCTTACTGAACAACAGCCTTTTCAGAATCCTAATTGGACCCTTTTAATGTTTAATGGTGATAGAGCACAAAGGCTAAAGATTGATGAATATAGTGAGGCATTCTCTGAAGCTCTTAAAGAAGAAACTGAGTTTCATTCCACTCTCTATCACATGGTTAAAGATTTTGCTTCCAAAGAAGCAATGGAGAAAATTAGGAGCTCCAGCTGCCAGTTTATTGACTCTGTATGCCATATGCTACTCTCGATTAGATTACTCAGCTATTCTTAATTTCTACTGATAAATTTTACTCAGTATGAAGAATCAAGCAACTTGGCGAAGAATCAGGTATTTCCTCAATAAAATGTAACAAGTGAATATATTTCAAATAGGCTGCTAAAATGATCTAATCAGCATTTACACTCAAATTTTATTTTTTTTTTAAATGTGGGGTCTTTTTTCCCCTATGAATACCGGCTCACTGAGACTTGGCTTTCACTGTATGAAGATTTAATGATTCTTTATTTCAATAAATTTTAACAAACAATATATTTCTCCTCCTCAAAAAGTTCATTTAAAGATCACGGGGAGGTATTCACACAAAGAGGGAATTTAAAATCTTATAGTCATTCTGAGAACCTCTGTTCCCAAGCTCTATTTTCCCAGCTAAAAGTTACTAATTTACAAAATTCAGATACTGAAACTTTAAAAATCAAGATACACACATTGGGACGTTCTGCAGTCACACTGGCGGTGGCCCGTTGTGTCGGAGCTGGGCAAATGGCCACAAGATATGTTCTAGAGACATCCAGGTGTCTCCATCCTGGGTGGGAGCAGCATCCACGGACTTTTGGAAAAACCGGCCTGTGAGGAAGCTTATCAAAGCCGCAAACAGTACAATTAATGTGACAGAAAGCCAGAGTGCCTTATTAGCTTTTCTGATGGAAGTCTTGAGATTGGTTGCCCAGGAAGCTATTGTGTCATAACTATAAGGAAAACACAAATTCAGAATTTGGTCATCACAGTAATCTGTTATTACAAACACTTCTTTTGCCAACAATACCAATCGACCTGCCATGTATACCACCAATGCTGCTTTGTAATAAACTACATAATGTGATCTGTTGTTTGGTTTTGGCCACAACCTGCCCCCCACGTAATAATTGTTAGAATTAAAGAAATAACATGTTATGATGAGAATCTGAAAATTACATGATTTAGACATTCTATAACTCCTAACAAGTACATACGAGTATTTATTTCGTTCTCTCAATCAGGTAAGACATGTTCCTACAGTTAAAAAAATATTATTTATTGAGTAGAGTGGAATATGTGTATGTACTCATGTATACATGAACATGACACTTAGATTTTATTGGTGTACTGAAATTTATTTTAGAAACACCCACTAAAAAACTTATTACAGCATCATTTAAGTCTTTGAAGTCATTAACTCTGGGCTAAACACTGTACTAAGCATTTACACATGCTACTTTATTTATTCATGACAACAAAACAATTACATAGGTACTAGTCTCACCCCTATTTTATAGATGAAGAAACTGGTGCTCAAAGATGGATGAATGTACCCAGTCCCACAGCCAGTCAGAGAGCTGGGGTGAGCCTGGGCCATCTGGCTTCAGGGCCAGACTCCAGCACTGAATTCTCCTGCTTGTTGTAACTCATAGGTTCAGGGGTAACCCCTGGAGACCATGTGAAGGTCGTCATTCATCTTAAATTTAACAATGGGACAGGTCTTTCAGTAAAGTAATTTAATCAAGAGTAATACTGTTAACCCTGCCTTACCTTTCCCCATTCCACTAAAATGATATAATTTGGCAGATAGACAACTTACACTGAAGAGACATCCCATTTTGATGGATTATTTCCCTTTTCAGAAAGACTTGGCTTTCTTGTCCTTTCTTCTATTTCTTCTCCAGGTGGTTCTGAGTCATCTTTAGTTCTGTAAATATTTTTTCAAATATTCAGAACTAAATATAATAATGCTATAATTATAAAGTATTGCTAAATTTTATTGCATTAATAAACATGCTCACAAATACTTGTTTTGCTTTAGAAAAATTTGATAAATATCTAATTCTAAAAATCAAATCACCAAATATATATATTTAACCATTTTGTTTTCATTAAGCATTCTTCTACCACATGGGCTTTAGCAACCTATCTTAAGATGATTTTACTCTTTTCTCTGTAGGTTTTTCAGTCAGTGTTAAATTAGAGTAACTTAAAAGTGATATTTCTTCTTTAAAAGTATTAATTTTAAAACTGCTTATGAAAATATTCTGAGTGTAAATGTAGTTAAAATATGCTAGCAGTATTCAGTGATCTGGCAAATAGCAATTGAATTGATGTTACTTAAAATAAAGTCATATTACCTACAGAAGGATTCCCTTACCTGAACAAAACTTCGTTTCATTACTATGTGTGTTGATGAGTTCCTAGTTTGATTTGAATTTTGATATCTCAAGCTCATAACCTCCTCACAAATGCCAAAGGGAACTGTGTCTCCAAGTTGTTCTTTTAGCCAGACAAATATAGGGAATGTATGTGGTAGATTTTAGTTTAGTTTTGAAAGGAAACAAGGCCCAAAAGCCAGGATCAATTGCATCCTTGTAGGATTCTCAAGGTGTTAGTCTTTTGTTTACAAAGACTTTTCAGTAAAAAAAAAAACAAAAACCATATCATACTAACAAAAAGCAAATAATAGCTTGTAATCTTTTGAAGGAAACTCTTGATTTTTTTCCACGCCAGATCAGAAAATATCTATTATGGTAACTCTAAAAGAGTTTCCAGTATATGCAACAGGATTATGTAACACACAAAACACAAGGAACTTTCAGGGCTGTCCAACCTTTTGGCATCTCTTGGGCCACACATTAAACACACAAACACTAATGAAAACAGGTAAGCCAAAAAAAAAAAGGTTTTAAGTAAACTTATGATTTTGTGTTGGGCCGCATTCATAGTCATCTTGGGCCACATCCGGCCCACGGGCCATGGGTTGGACATCCCTGGAGGCACTGTTTCTTACTCATCTTGGTATATCTGAGATTGAGTGTAGTGTCTATTACATAGCAAGCACTCACTGAACATGTGTAACATGAACATAAAATCATTCCATTAAGCTCTCTACAGATCAGGAAACTGAGACCATGTATGTTTAAAGCAATTTGTCCAATGTCACCCAGCGACTTATGGGCATTTGTTCATGTCCCTCCTTCCTGCCCTCTCCCTTATGTTATAGAAATATATTTTATTTAACTTGCTAGATATAGAGATAGTAGTATAGACTTTTATGTTTCCCTTGTTCTTCATTTATGTAAAGGGAAGATATGTATAATGCACATATATTACATATGTGCTGACATTTTATATATAATTCATGTTTTTTTAAACAAATGGACATTTTACTTCTGTGGCTCTTTATTCATCTTCCCCCCTGCTAGCCAGATACCTATACAGGAAAAAAATTACCTTCACAAATCTGGCAAATTTCAGGGTCTTTCCTAACTTAAGACCTCAAACCTTGCAGCTCTGAGCACTGCAAGAGTGAATGTATTCACAGGATAACATTTATAGAGTGCGTTATAGTTTATAAGTCTTAAACAATGGATTATCTTTTAGAGGATGCAGCATTGATCTCATCTCCACAGAGTTAAAATGAGCCCCATTCTTTATGCCCCAGCTCACATCAGGGTAACAAACACACGAAGCTCCACCTACTTTAGCTCACATTTTTCTTCTTCACCATCTGCCCAGGAATAGGTGCTGATAAATCGGTGTAATGAGGGACGATGTTCACTCTGCTTTGACCCCAAAATACGCCTATATAAAGATGATTATATCCACTTGTCAAATCAAATACATCCATAGCCATTATTAATTTATTTCCCACTACCTAAATCAATACAAAAATTATATGTTCTAATTATTTTCCTTGGCACTCACATAACATTTATTTCATAATAACGATTTCATGATCTGTCAACTTTTATAATTCTGTTTATATCAAATTCAAATATTTATGTTAGCACAATTCAAAAAAGCAAAGTTCCCAAACAGCAACCATGTAATTACGCTTACCAACTGCTTGACCTCCTACTGAATCGGTCATTGTTTTCCATCCCAGCCACCTTTAAAGTTCAGATGTTAAAGAAATAAAATATAAATTTAGTGAAATAAGTTTATTTTTTTGTTATAATAAAATGAATTTGCTTTTGACTGAGAACATTTAGGATTTTGCTTACCATTGCCGCATTCCCAATATTTCTGGGTAAAGAAGCAATTGTTACTCTTCGAAGAGAAGATGGCTACTCAATGGGGGAAAATACACAATTAGAAAATTCTTAGTATTTTATCCTTCTATGCAACACTGATGAATATCCTCGTATATACACATCCATGCATGTGACTACTACTGAGTGAAACAGTAGACATTTTTAAAAGGATTTTTTTATGACCAAGTTGCCTTCCAAAAATTCTTATTTACATCCCACTATCCCAACGCTGGGTGAGTATGATTTTTGCCAATCAAACAAGGAGTATGAACTTTCTTGTTCAGGTTGTCTTGTAATTCAATACTTTTTCTATCTTATATAACCATATATCTATATATCTATATCTATCTGCTCTGAGAACCACCTGTTTATGATCTTTGCCCATATTAATTTTGTTCCTGGCATTTGGGACAGAAAATTTTTTCATTATTAAGTATAGCCAAATCTATCCATCTCTTCCTATCTTTTTCTACCATTTCTTTAATCCTTAGATTTTCCCCTACTCGAGGAGATAAATATATACCTATATTTATAGCTTTTAAAAATTGCTATATTTGTTCCATTTACTACATTTAAGGATGGGTATATTATTTTAATGAATGGATGTGTGTGTATATGTGTATATCAGCTTTGAGATTTTCATAGAAAGAATGTTATATAATATTATGTGGTTCTTAAAGTTTGAGTAAGTACAACTTTAATAAAAATATTTTAAATGTAGGAAAACCTAAAATTTTATGTAAATCCTTTTCTTAAACCATCATTTCTAAATTTTATAGGTTAGTTGAGCATCAAGAATATCAAACTGTGGTCCATGAAACTTGAGTTCAAATCATGTTTCTACCACTACCTATGTCATAACTAATCACTTCTGTGCTTCTTTCTTTCCTCAAGAATGAACAAGAGATTTGGATGGAAAGATTTTAGAGTCCCTTGCCCAAAAATACTATCACACAATTTGGTGCGATCCTGATTTTCAAACTCCTTTTTTTTTTAGTTAGGCATACAACCTCCAGAATAAAAACAAACAAACAAACAAACAAACTATATTTCCAATTTTATTTGCAACTAAAAGTGAAAAGAAACGTTACCTGGGACTTCTAGGAAGTTCTCTTTAAAGGGTGAGGGACTACATATCTTGGAAATGGGGACTCATACATGGGGAGCAGGATGACAGCTAATGTGTGTGTGGGGGGGGGTTGGGGTGGAGAAACTGAGCAAAAAGGAGAAAGGACTCACGGACATGGACAACAGTGTGATGATTGCTGGGGGGAGGGGGGTAAAAAGGGACAAAAGGTACTGTAAAAAAATACAATAAAGATCAAATGAAAAACAAATACCTGTCTTTGCTTTTTTCTTTTTCCTGGAGTGTGTAATGACCAGGACTTTTTGCCTGGAACAGAAGCAGCTAGAGAGGAGGGCACTGGGCCCAGTGGATTTTGTGAAGCTGCTCTACTATTGTCTATTTCCAACTCCCATTTTACGTGAGAGAAACTATTGTTTATAGCTTCCTTCTCACTGTCAGGCAAACTTAACTGGTATACCAATATAGCAGGAAATATAAAAGCATACATATAAACAAATATACATATGACTACATATTATGAATTAAAATTATTGTTTAATGACAAATTTAAAGCTATATTGCTTCAAATATTTTTAAACATCTCACATATAAGTGAATTATTAATTACCTTGGAGTTTAGAGAAGCTGAGCGTTTTTTAACTTGGCAGTCATCTGAAAGGAAAGCATTTGTACCTTTTAGAAATTACATTTGTAATTTCTGTTAATGCAATAGTTTTAACTCTTTACAGAGAAAATATTTATTTAAGACCTTTAGGTTATAAATATCCAGTTATCATTTATTTGGTGATTCATAACAATTACCATCTTAACCAATGGAATACAGTCCTTATGTTACTACGTATGTCGAGAATGCTGACCTAGCACATAAGCAGCACTAAATGAATATCTGCTGAATAAATGAATCCAAAACTACAGACAGGAGATAATCAAATATGGTTACTTTGTTGGAAGAGGGAACATACCATTAAGAATTCTTAGAAGTTCATACAGCTTATTTAAAATAAACTATTCTTAGATTTATATAAACTTTATATTAAGACATTTTCCATGGCCTCATAAATGCCTCTATTTTCCAATTCATCAGTCAGCTTTACTGATCATCCAGAGTGATTCCATCTATGAGGAATATAAAACCGCTGTTATGAGAATGGCTCGTTAAAGTTATCCTGTCTTGCTTTATGTATGAAAGAAGAGCCAACTTGAATATATCCCTAAGTAGAAGAACACTAGGGTCAACTCAATGGGTTGGATTAAATATATTCTCTGATCTTAGCAATTTAAATTAACTTAATGAATTTTCGATATCATTGTCAAAGAATCCTTGTCTCCCAACCTGTTATCTAACTGACATCCTACTTTTGACTATACAGATGACAGGAATGAATTACTCTTTTAATAAAACATTAACCTAAGGGTCTTACACTAAAGACATAATAAAAATTAGTAAGAGGGAGAAGGAAAGAGACAAATGTTAGAAAAGCATAACTAGTACTATTATCTTAAACTTTTATTACCTTCATCTTCCAGGGGGTTAAAAGACCTTTCATTTTGCAAAAGAACCTGTTTCAGTTCTTCTAATTCAGCATGTTCTTTGGCATACATCCTCTTCAGGTTTTCTACATGCTGAATCATCACTTCAACAGCTTTACTAACCCGACTTTCCTAGTAGAAAAAAAAGAAACACAAATTTATATTGAAAATATTATTCTTGATAGCTAGTTAAAAGATGGTGATTCAAGCATTTATTTGTCTTCACTTCATCTCTAAATCCTACTAAAATGACAACTAAGGTATTTCTATTAAAAAAAAAAAAAGCCTGAGTCCACAAGGGCAAATAGAACAGAAAACATAAAAGCTATCAAATTTTGAAAGCCTGCTAGATGGACTAGTAGTAAATGACTAAGATGTGGAAAAGCTGAACCCTAAAATAAGCAGTAAGAAAAGCCTAGAAGCAACCTAGAAGAGCCCTAAAATATCAGAATTTAGTGGCACCTCTGGAATGAAGCTTCAAGGTGAATATGTGAACAGAAGAAATGGTTGAAAGTGTATGTAAAAAATAATTAGATCCAAAGATACCTTCTTTACTCAAGCTAGCCAAGCAACCACCCCTCCACCATTTTGGGGAACAACTATAAAGTTTGACTACCTAGAAAGAGTTAAAAAAGAGGGTCTGTGGATTGGATAGTAACAGATAGCTGATGGTGGCTCATACTGAAATGAATAGATTTAAGAAAAAATCTGTATACATATTGAATAATGAGATACCTAGCCTTATTCCTCCTTCCATTTCCCAAACACTGGTAGCCAGGCTTATACCCTCAAAGCACGCTGAAGACTTTTCTCTGGGGAATCTAATATCCCAAGATGAAAGTCTTAAAACTGCTGACATAAAGAATATTCCAACAAAACATCCTAGCTTGTGTGAAGCTTGGGGCCAACAAGAACCTTCCCTACCCAACATATACAGAGCTCCCAGTCAGTTGAACATCCTCAGATGTTGGAAGGAAGCCTCAAGCACAAAAGGAGAAAATAAAAAACAGAGAAAAGCAAGCTGGTAGAAACAAACCAGAAAAACTAAAACATCAAGGAAACTACCAATAACTTTAGAGAGTTAAGAAACTCTCAGATATCCCATGCAGCAATTTTTTCACTGATATGTCTCCTAAAGCAAGGGACATAAAGGAAAGAATAAACAAGTGGGACCTCATCAAAATAAGAAGCTTCTGCACGGCAAAAGAAAACATCAGCAAAATGAAAAGGGAGCCAACCATTTGGGAAAATATATTTGCTAATGATACATCAGATAGAGGTTTGATCTCCAAGATATATAAAGAACTCACTCGACTCTACTCCAAGAAGACAAACGATCCAATCAAAAAATGGGCAAAGGACCTGGGCAGACGCTTTTCTAAGGAGGAGATACAGAGGGCCCAGAGGCATTTGAAAGGATGCTCTGCATCACTAGCCATCAGAGAAATGCAGATCAAAACCACCATGAGGTACCACCTCACACCGGTCAGAATGGCCATCATAAACAGATCCACAAACAACAGGTGCTGGCGAGGCTGTGGAGAAAAGGGAACCCTAGTACACTGTTGGTGGGAATGCAGACTGGTGCAGCCACTATGGAAAGCAGTGTGGAATTTCCTCAGAAAGCTGAAAATGGAACTGCCTTTTGATCCAGCGATTCCCCTGCTGGGACTATACCCTGAGAACACCAAAACGCCAATACAAAAGAACCTATGCACCCCAATGTTCATAGCAGCACAATTTACAATAGCCAAGTGTTGGAAGCAACCTAAATGCCCATCAGTAGATGATTGGATCAAAAAATTATGGTACATATACACAATGGAATACTACACAGCAGAAAGAAAAAAGAAGTACTAAACTTTGCGACAGCATGGATGGAACTCGAGAGCATCATGCTAAGCGAAATAAGCCAGGGGGCGAAAGACAAATACCATATGATCTCACCTATAAGCGGAACCTAACCAACAATGCAAAGATGCAAGGAAAATATGACCAGCAACACTGAAAGGAAAAGAAATCAACAGAGACAAGAGGGAAGGGGGGACAGGGAAAGGGAAGGGAGGGGGAAAGTCAAGGAACATATAGCAAGGACTCATGGACAAAACCAAAGGGGAAGAGCTGAGGGAGGGAAGGTGGGAGGGGGCAAGGGAAAGAGGTGGGCGGGAGGCAGAGACAAATGTATTTAAAAAGTAAATAAATTTAAAAAAAAAGGATAGTTATTAGAGATTAGGAATGTGATTTTATTAAAATGTTCATTATAATGAAAGAATAAAAATAACACAAAGTTTTAAAAAAAAAGAATTAGTATTGTATCCATAAAATAAGAAAAAGGTATTAGTTAAAAACATTCTGAGAACAACAAGAAAAAAAGAGTCTGGACATTAAAAATATGACAAAAATTTGACAGAGAAGATGGGGAGGACATGATGATGGTTTAAGAAGAAAGTGTGAAATTAGTATTTACAAGGGAGAGAGGGTGAATGACGGGAGGCCCTGCGGACCCACTTGAAGTTTGTAATGATGAATTTCAAGAGAGGTAGTAAGCACAGTGTGTGATGTTTTCCAGCTGTGCAAGTAGAACAGGTGGAGAAGTGGATTTAAAAAGGGTTGTAGATTTTCCAAATAAGTGGGAAAAAACAGCAGAGGGAAAGTGTTAATGGGTTCCTGCAAGGGAGTGAATATTGTGTTTGACCATAGAATTTAAGCTTGGTCAGGAAAGAACAAAGGTCAACAGCAAAGTAAGAATCAGGGAAAGGTGTGAGGGAACAGAGATGGATAAAAAACTAAATATTCATCTCCACAGTGGGACACCCACAAATATCTAAAACTGAACATAATTCACAATGTGACAGTATATGCATGTTACTTAGAGATATGGATATAAATATAAGACAAACCAAGAGAGTTGAAAGTTATTTCTCTTGAATATGTAAAATGGTATAATAAGCCTTGTTTTTAACTTTTTAAAACTATGTGCATATACAGCTTTATTAAAATAAACAAAGACTATTATTATATAATGAGGGGATAAAAAGAAAATAGGATATTAAAATTGTATAACAAATGATCAAACTAAAACTATCACCACAATTGGCCCTGATCATTGTGACCCAGTTGGTTGGGCATTGTTCTGCAAAATGAAAGGTCATCAGTTTGATTCCCGGTCAGGCTAAATGCCTGGGTTGCAGTTCTGAACTTAGTTGGGGCCTATATGAGAGGGAGCCAATTGATGTTTCTTTCTCACATCAATGTGTGTCTCTCTCTCTTTCTCCCTCCCTTCCCCTCTCTCTAAAAAATAAATAATAAAATCTTTAAAAAAACTATCACCACAGCTGAATTTCTTCTTTGGAAAATATATTTTAACAAGTTTGTTTAGGTATAGATTAAAAAAATTAGACTTCTCACATTTGCCCACATATAATTTTTGAAATCCTACTTCTCTATGAATAAGTGTGCAAAGATGTATTTACAAGGATATTTATTATAGCGTTGTTTATACTAGAAAAATATCAAGAACATTCTGAAATGATCAAATATAGAGGATTGGTTAAATATTTTGATCCATTCAACCAATACAATAAAATAATAACAAATGTAGGAATTTATAGCACATAGAAATCTACTATTATATGTGAATAAAACAGAAGTAGATTATAATATTGTATAAAGGGAATGTCTAGAAAAATATTTCAAAATTTTTATAACTGTCACTGGATATTACTATTATGAGAGATTTTCCTTTACATTTTTATTCATATATTCCATTTTTTCCCTGTATTAAGCATATATGTCTTGTATAATAAAGACATGTTTCCTAATACTTAGTCCTAGAAATGTAATCTATAATCTCACAAAAAATAATTCTTTTAATAATTTAATTATAACTAGAGAAATATACACAGATTACCTGATTAATGGCTCCCAACATCTCAGCCCTACTGGCCACTCGTGCAGTGCACTGGCTAAGGAATGTTATACTCTTCTCCAGCTTCTTAATGATTTCCTGGGCCTGGTTGTCATCTTCACAGAGAGCTGTTAAAGACTGCACAGGAAGCAATGTATTAAAAAGTATCCAACCCCCAAATCCTGCAAGTGATGATAACACTTGTAGGTGTAGATGATAGTCAGATCTCCATTTTCTTGGCGGAGAATGAAAAGCAGCAGCTAAGACCAATCGTGAATGATGTTGAAATCATAATATCTTTAATATTAATCAAGTAGACATATGCAGGGGTTCACAAAGCCTTTATATCTATTCTTGATTCCTTACTTCTTATTTCCCAAATTTGTTGCTCCACGTGTATTTATATTTTTCTCCTACAATAGCATGGGATTAATTGGTAATGATAAAGAAATTATGCTTATAAATGAGTTGAATATATTATATGAGGGGCACAGTTTGAACTTTTAAGAAAAGTAATGAAAACATACTGAAATTATATATGGCTCTGACCACTATCTTTGCTCTTCCATTGATGACAAAGTGTGATTGGACTGGTTATGTGGGTATGACTTCATTGCCTTATGAATATTTCTCTCCCCAAATTAGCCTTCTTAATTTTTCAACCCACCTCTATATTTTTGGTATTCTTCCACAAATGGAAGAATACTAGTTGTCACACTGCTATGTACCTTACAGAGGGCTTTCCTACTATCTGACAAGACCCATTCTCTTTTTTTCAGTTAATTAAATGGAAGTAGACTTTTGATTCTTTTCTTTGAGGCTTAAAATTGATGTTTTCTCCTATGCTCAGTTTTCTGTCTGATTACTTTTTTGCCTGAAATCTACTTGAAAATCCAGAGGGAATGCAGAGGACTAATACAACTACTTAAAAGACATTTATTACATATACTCTCCTATGAGTGAATCTTTTTTATTTTATCCTGATCCTGAATTCTTACCTCTTATTAATTCACATTGGGGTCAAGCAGGGCTTGGTACCTGGTGTTAGTTTCCGTCATAATTAAACTCATATGTAATTTCAAAAATATTATTAACAACATGCCCAAATGTATAGTTCTCAAATGTTGTGATTCTTACCTCCAAAAGCTTTAAACAGTTAGTGATTTCTTTCTTCAAATTTTCTTCTGCCAAATCACGGGTCCTTTCTTCAAGTTTTACTCTTTTCTCCAAGGTGAACCAATCACACTTAAATCCCAAAGATAATCTGAGAAATTCAGCCTGTTGTCAAATTAACATGAGTGTGAAGGGTGAAAATTAGATGTGGTGAAATATTGGATTGGCCAAAAAGTTTGTTTGGTCTTCTCCGTAAGATGGCTCTAGTAGTACTTAGTTGTCTTTAACTTCATTTGAAACAATTTTGTTAGATTGTATTGTGACAGCTGTCATATCAGCTTGCATTTATAATCTTATCAAAATTGGAGAATTTTTGTGCAGTCATTTTAATATTGAAGATGGAAGAAAATAAGCAACATTTTTGGCATATTATGCTTTGTTATTTCAAGAAAGGTAAAAATGTAACTGAGAAAAAAGATTTGTGCAGTGTGTGGAGAAGGTGCTGTGACTGATTCACCGTGTCAAAGGTGGCTTGCCAAGTTTCATGCTGGACATTTCTCACTGGACGATGCTGCACAGTTGAGTAGACCAGTTGAAGATGATAGCGATCAAATTGAGACATTAATTGAGAACAATCAATGTTATACCATGCAGGAGAAAGCCAAAATACTCAAAATGTCCAAATCAATAAAGCTATTGGTGAAAATAAAAAATGTGTCTTTTATTTTACGGAAAAAACTAAACAGACTTTTTGACCAACCCAGTATCTCCGTTTAATACTGAGTTATGCTGAGGCATTTCTTTCTCTTCTCAGCAACACAAAGTTGACATGCACAGACTTTCCCTGCACTTTGTCATTGGCAAGCCAGACAGACACCAAACGCATGACAGCTGTGCAAAAGCATGAAGCGACCATAGGCAAGTGAGCCTGAAACACATTTTTAAAATTAATTTTAAAAATATTCACTTTACACTTACCTCTACCTCCTTCTCATTAGCAGAAGTGCTGTAGGACAAGACAAAGAACTTATTTAAACATAATTCAACAGAAAGGCAAAAAATATTAGCATGCTATGTGAAGAAGAGCTTACTTGTCACTTTGTTTAAAGTTAACCGATTTCACAGTGGTTACAGGAAGAGAGGAAATAGCAGTGTCTGTTAAAAGACAAGAAAATATTATTTGGTTAAAAAGGCTTAACAGCAACAGCTAAAGACACATTCAATTAAATGTTATGTCCTCTCTCCACTAAACAAAGGTGTTTCATTGAAATATGTCTGAGATGATAGCCAGGGAATCATGCATTTGCTGAAATATAAGATAATATTATGCTAAACTATTGGGATCATAATGATCTTAAAATCATTAGTCCACACTTAAGCATGTGAACAGTCCTTGAAAACTGAAGAGGTCTGAGTCAAGGGACAGCCCAATTTTTCTCTTTGTATTTGAATGTTTGTTTGACTTGATTCTGTGGCTAAATGCATGCCTTCCTCTGGTACTCTGGTCCTCCTTTATAGCAACGTTATAATAGCACCAGCAGCATGAGTAACAGTGCTTGTAGCAGTAGTAGTAATAATAATAGTAGCAGTAGTAATAATACCAGTAACAACAACAGCAACAATGCACATGGTTTTAAACATTCAATCACAGGTTTGCTACGTGACAGTCTCACAACAAGGCCCTTTACACATATACTAATAGTACTGTTAATGAAAACTTTGCAAAGAGGAAAAGTAACAACTTCATCTAATCATCTAAAATAAGAATGATTTTTTTTAACAGCTAACTTTTATGGGAACTCCTCTGTCAAACACTTTTCTAAGTGCTTCATACATGATTTATTCAATTCTCACAGCTAACCTTCTGTGCTAGATACTGGTATTATCTACAGTTCACGGACAAGGGAACAATCACAGGGTACCTATCACACATAGATATTTGGGAAAACTAAATAAAACTATGTACATAAAGAATTCAGCCAAGTATTTAGCATATAGTATATTCTCAATAAAGGGTAACATTTTTTCACTCATCTTTTCCATTTTGCAGATGAGGAAATTGAGAGTCAAGTAAGATAACATTCTAAAGTCACAGCTGCCCAGTAGAGTGTCTGCCTGACTCCAAAGCCTGAGCTCCGCCTGCCAGTTCCGCCTCATTGTTAGCACTTATTCTTTAACTGCTAGTTGGTTTATTTTTAGATGGAATAATGAAAAAGATCTCAGGAGAATTAAGAATTTACTACCAACATTGGTGTGGTCCTTAGTTCGCAATAAGGGTACTAGTGCTCTGGGACTTAACAGTCAATGGCAACATAAGTGCGGCTTTTTAAAAAAGATACAAATAGAATCAAGAATCACTTTTATTGGCTAATTTTATCTAGAGATGCAGAATTTGTAGATGCCATGTTTTACTCAGAGAGATTTCACCCATAAAAATACCAGCAGGGAACAAAAGTTCACGTGGGGTTTGGGAGAACATTCCTTACCTTCTGCAACGCATTCTTTTCTGTGCTCATTCATTGTTTTTGGTTCCTTTTTGGCTTCCTAAAATCATAAAGAGATTTTATTGTTGTACATAGAGTGGATATCCTTTATAACCAATCATTTCCCAACTTCCTGTCCTCCCCTAACCCTCCCTGGTCAAAAACACTCGGTAGTATTCGAAGAACTGTACTAGGGGTTAAAGAAGAAAACAGGACTAGCCTAGGGCGTTTCCAATTTAGCTGCAGCATAAAGGACAGAAATAAATGAAAAGCTGCAAACATGGTACAAGTTACCACAAAGCAAACTAGGATTACTTGCCTAATAAATGGGATCTAGATAAGTAAATGCTCTGTAGAGGAAAGAGAGAGAGAGAGAGAGAGACCATGGCCTGAGTGGCATAAAAATTCTCTGCAGATGAGGAACTTGCTGAAGCTTGATGAAGTAGGAGAGGATAGATGGAGAGGTCAAGCGGGGGCAGGCGGTGATCTAGGACTATCACATGCAACAGGCTGTTGGAGAAACTGGCAGAAACAGCTGCTAAGATGGTGCTCTTAGGCTTTTACTCCATATGAATATATGTTAAGGTCACTGATGAACTTTTTTACAAATGTATCTATACAACAAGAATCTCCATAATAAGAGGGTTGTACTGTGCTGCCTGGGCAAGCTAACAGGAAAGCTGTAGGTACACGAGTCTAAGACACATTTCCTTGGTAGAGCCATTATCCCCTCTTTCTTGAAGATGTTTCTTCCATTGGTTCTCCTCTCCCCATGGCTCCTCATCACCACAATACCCTTCTCAGTCTGCTCTGCTTTGCCTTCTCACACTAGAAAATGATATCATCAAGAGTTTATTATCCTCAGTGCTCCCTTCCTGACTGCCAAACCATTGGGAAATCTCATCCACATCCTTGGTTCTTTGCTGATAACTCACAAGTGTGTATCTGCTCCTAAAAAGCCCATTGGCACATTTAGAAAATGGGTATATAGCCATATGTAAAACGTCCTTCCAGACTATTGCTGTCTCGCATCACCCTGATCACATTAACTTATCTCCAGCTAACCTTACTTTACGCTACAAGTTTTACCCTTCTTCCTCCCTCCCTCCGCTCATCTTATTCTGGTGGTACATCCTCCATGACACCTCTTCTGGCCTCTCCTCCCACGCATTTTTCTTTCATATCACTAATCACACTCTAGTTATAGAGCAGCTATATGTTTCTTCCCTTTATTAGAACATATCTTTAAGATAGATATCACTATTTTAATCAACCTTATTTATTGATGCTTTCACTTATTTGAAAGCACTCTATTGATTGATAGCTTGTTTTCAGTAGGCCTTTGGTGGGTCAATGAGTGAATTAATCACTACTGTGCGACCTCGGACAAGTCACAAGGATGCTTTGGTCTCAACTTCTTCACAAAATATTGGTATAATTCAATTATTTTAACCTCATAATACTTTGAAAGGGTAAAATGAGATAATGCTTTTAAGAGTATTTTGCCAACTTAAAGGGACAGTTCCACCACTGTATTATATTATCACTTTTATTGTTAACATGCATATATTTCCTTACCAGATTTAATATGGGTGTGTCCTCATTCACAGAGCCTTGGAGTGCAACCTTCTCATGAGCTGGACTTGTGTCTATGAGAAAACAAAACACACTACAGAGTTGGGGAACTGTTTCAAGTAAAAGAATGAGTGAGGGCAGCAATACGGGCAGACTAGTAAGTAGCACAAGTCTTAACGTGTGAGATAAATCATGTACTACAAAACTTTAAATGTTCCATGATTCAGAATCAAGACTAGAGGAGCTAAGGTTCCCAAGGAAGCTAGCCACATAAGCTTTCCTGGTGGAAACAAACATCCATATAAATGACCTTCGAGTGGTCAGGTTATTAATATCTTTTTAAAGTCTGCTGCTGCTTTTTAAAAGTCAAACACATTACTAGTTTAATTATAGAAAGGGGATGAAGGAAGGGTGAACAATTAGTAGCATAGTGGCCTTTTTTTATAGCCTAACAAACAGGTTTTTTTAAAATTACTTACGTAAAACTGGTAACAAAAGATATCCTTCTAAAATATGTATCTTTCTAAATAAAATGTCATCAAACTAAGAAGCAAAGATGCACTTTAAGCTATGCCACTCCTTTTTGTAACTTTCCTTTATTTTTTTGTGTACTTTATTTGTATTGTAAGTTATTTGATAATGATTTTCCTCTTCACAGGATCCATTGTCCTAAATTTAGCCCAGTGCAGGCACAAAAGTTAGCAGCTATAGGCATGTTTTATTTCTTTCTTTTTAAGAAAAAAGAGAGTTGAAGAATGTATTATATCTTTAAAATTTTTATGGCAATAAGAACAAAATGGTAATCACTTTCGTTAGGTATATAAATTTTTTTCCTCATGGAAATTTTATTTTTGTTTTGAAGTTTTAAGACTGATAATAGATTCATATGGCCCATAAGTTTAAAAATGTAAAATGTTTCACAATGAAAATTTTTCCTTGTATCCACACCATGTAGAAACCCACTTTCCCTCACCATAAACAACATTATTTTGTCTAGCCTTCCAGAGATATTTTGTGCATACATTAAAACTTTTCCTTGTCTTTTTTTCACAAGTTTTTATATGCAGTACATAATATTTTGTACTTTGGTGTTTTTTGCCCCAAGAAACAACAGTTCTTTGATATCCTTCCAAGAAAAAAGGGTATTTTATATATGTTTTATGGATGCATATAAGTATTTTATTACATGGATATGACAAAATATATTAACAATTGACTAAATTGATAGTTAATTTCTTTCCAATATTTTGTTTTTATAGACAATAATATAGTAAACAGATTTGTACATATGTCACATGGTATGTGTGTACTTAAATCTATATATTCCCCAAAGTCCAATTGTTTTTATCATGAGATATATACATTTAACATTTTGGTAGATATTGGCACATTCCCTCCACGTTATTTACAATCAGTGGTATTTCACTGGGAATGGTTGAAATTAACTTTATTAAGTGGCAGAAAGGATCTAACATGTCATCTAAATAATTCTCTTGCCTCCTGAATGGACCATCACTAATTGGCCTGTCTTCTAAACTAATAGATTCTAGTTAGGATTCTGTAATTTCCTAAGTAGGAGATTCCACGTCTGAGCCAGTCGAGACTCAGTTGTGTCCAATCAATCTTTGCCATAAAGAAATTTTTAAGACCCATTAAAATATATTATAATTTTGGTTCTATGAACAGAATTGAAATAAGATTGGTAACATTATCCTATATAAAGGCAACCATCTTCTCTTGGGCTTTTGTTCTACACACTATGTCTCCATGTTCTTTTATAAAATAATGCTATGAAGGATACTCTGTTTGTTTATAGGTCTGCTTAGTGTTGTAGAATAGAAACTATACTTGAACCCTCTAAGAGCTCACCTCTGACTTTCATCATAGCAGAATATGATTTTTTATCCTCCTCCTTATCACAGACTGCTTCACAATCAAGGTCACCAGAAGCCATATTCAAAGTTTCTGATCCAGAATCTATCAACAGGAAGAAACTATAGCATGAATACTAAGCAAAAGTGTTTGCCTATTTTTTTTCATTTGTACACATGTCATTAGGTCACAGAACATCAAGCTCATAGTTATAATACTACTAGTCTATTTTTATATATTTTCCAAGTTCACTCACCGTTTTTAGTTACAGTACTCTCAGTGTGTGAAGTCTGTACAGGAGATGAGATTGTCGAATGTTCCCTGCAAAAAGAGTAGAGGAAGTATTTGGGGGTGTCAGGTCCAGAGAAATCTCTTAAAAATTACCTGGATAGTCATACAAATTCACACCCATACAACAGATAGACAAACCTGGACTGTGGCAGGCTCTCAGGATGCAAGTGTTCAATACCATTCTCCTTAAGGAAAAAGAAAAAAGGAGAAATAAGTTCAACAATTTGACATTTTCCATTCCAGAAAGGTGCTTGTAAGCAAACATTTTCATATAATTTTAAATGAGACCATGTTCACTTTGCTCTTTGGAGAGGGTATGGGGATGGGATTGTACAGAGAAGATTGATATACATACTTTCTCAAAGCTGTACTTGCAAAAAAACATCCAATTTAAGTGTACTTACAAGTCTAATATTTAAAGAAAACCAGATAAATTCTTGGGCAAAACAAATTCTAACCTCAAAGGGCAGATAGAGTTTATTTCATGAAGTTAAGGTTTTGTTTTTTTTTTAAAGAGAACTTTCTGTGTGGGCATAAAACATTTCTACTTATGGAACTATTATTCAACCTGAAACTTTTAACTTGGCAATTTTAAAATGGTTCTCAATATTCTATCTAGACAAATCATACATTTTACACTTAATCAAATTATCAAAGATCTGAGGGATTACATCTAAGTCAACACTATTACTTGGTGCTCAAAAGAGCTTAACAGGTCCCAGGCTTCTAGGGCAAGTGTTGGGAAATCTCATTTGAACTTCTTAGTCTCTATCAGGAGTGCTTAATTTGGGGGAAACTTTGGAACATTAGGGTTGATTAGTTCACTTATTCAATTTCAAAAAATACGATGGGAACATAGGTTTCTCTTTAATGATAAATTTTCTAATAAGCATATTTTCATTATTATTTGATATATTTAAGAAAATAAAATTTAATAGATTAAAACTGAAATCATTTGGACATATCAAAAACCTAGAAAGACAATGAAAAAATTGAGATATTTTAGTCTTCCATAATCAAACAGAAAACTTACTAATTGCCACAACCAAAACAGATTCAGTGGTGAGGTGCTGTGTATCATAACACAGTATTTAGAATCTATCCAAGATAATATTGCAATAGCCACAGAAGAGGAAATGTTTAGCAAGAGTTTGCTGAATATGTAGTTAGTACAGTAACAGCAGCTTACATCTGTTCAATACATTAAAATTTACAAAAGCCCTTTTATGTATCAATTCATTTAATTTCCCAACAACTCTCTGCAGTGGGTCCTAACAAGAAAAGATTTACTTATTTCAGGTAAGGAAAGTTAAGTCAATGAATAAAGTAATTTCCCAGGAATATTCAGGATGGTGGTATCAGACTATAAATCCAGATAAAACTAAATGTAGTACCCCCTCCTCTGTAAGCAGAACTGTCTCTGAGATACCCTAACCCAGATGATTTAAATAGAAACTTTAAATTTTCACCTCAAATGTTTAGAAAAATACACACACTATACAAAGCAAGATTTTATAGCTAATCCTCTTACATATCAATGTTGGGCAATCATCTCTTTTATTTGATTTCATCTCTGCTTTAAATATCTTTGGGTCAGATTATCTAATGCCACTGAAGCCCCCCATGATGTCAGTTTAAGTTAATTCAACAACTGTCGTCAAAGGCCCACTTTGTGCTGGGAATGGTGACAAAGGCTGGAGACACACAAAAACACAGTTTTGTCCCAGTGGAGCTTGTAGACCAATCAGGAAGACAAATATATAAAACAAATACTTCATAAAAGGTAGGCAGCATTCCACAGAGGAAAGTAATATGCACAGAACAGAAGAGACTAGGTAATATTCGAATTAAATTTTGAAGAAATTGTACCTTATATCCTACAGGTATTTAAATAGTGATGGCCCTATCTTTAAAATATTTTAATAAATTATATTAGTAATTAACTAATGTTCATTTAACTACAGTCTAATATATATAAGAAATAAAGCTACAAAAATAAAAATTAAACATCCTTCAGTTTCACTGAGTATCACACTTCATAAAAGTCAACAAGGATTGATTTCTTAATAATAAAATTGGCCCTTTAAACATGCCACCTTATATAAAAATTTGTTATTATGTGTAGCTTAAAATAATACTTATTATTGTACTATAATTAATAAAGTATATTATATGCAATAATAATTATATTTCACTAACTAAAAAGCTAATTTTGTCAGAAAGAGACTTGTTATTATACCTATCAGGGTCATGGATACTCATATTTGAATTTAAGGAGTATGAAAGAGAATGTTGTTATTTCCTATTTAATTAACCTCATTTCCAATATGAGGTGAAAAGTACCCATCATTTCTGTAAACTTTGATTTAAAAACAGTCTAATTATTTAGTGTCAATATAATGTATACAGAACAGCAAAAATACAGCTTACCTCCATTATATTACAAATGTCTCATTTGTCATAATACTCTGTATAAGCCTTTTTCTTGGTCTAAATTTCACATGTGAGACATTTTAGTAAAAAGCTTTTTGATAAACATGAAATATATATTGATTAAATAAGTAATAATTCTGCAATTTTGGAGAAATGTCATATGTTTGGTAGCCATACATTACTGCACTGTTCTGGAGGAGTTGCAAGGTAAGCAACCGGTTATTGCTCCAATTCATTACTATGTATAAATCTCATTGATCAGAGAACAACCCAATATACAACATATCTCAAACCTAGATTTTCATAAATTTAGTCTAACAACATTTTCCCCTTCTTACAAGAATAACCAGACAAAAGAAGGTTTTTTTTTCAAATTTAGGATTATAGTTAGTGAAGGTTGGAGATAATCCCCTCCGAGTGTCTGTGCACGTGGAGAGGGCGTGGAGGTAACTCCGCAAACACTTCCCACAGCTGTGCTCTTTCTTTCCCGCTTCCAAAGCCGCCCCTATCCAAACCAGCATCCTGGACCTATTGGAGAACCTAACCCACAACTGTGGGCCCGGGGCAGATTATGAAAAAGAAAATCTACTGGATGTATTTTCAAACCAAGGAAAATAAATAGAGTAAAAGCAAGAAGACAGTTGAGATGAAGGACTTACTTATACAGAAGACAGGCTCAAATCAGTGAGTCTAACGCATGCCAATGGCGACAGCATAGAGCAGGAAGAACGTTCTTCCTGCCCATGCCACTCAAATATCAACCTGCATAACATTTACATAAAATCCATGGTTCAGCCCTTTTGCCTTTGACAGTATGAGTCTAACACAGGGTGGGGTAGCCAAGGTACTGATGGAACAAATTGAGACATTCTCCCATGGGCTGGGTCAGCAAATGCAGGTCACACACACACACACACACACACACACACACACACACACACACAGCAGGATTATTTCAATATTTAGATGGACAAATATGAAGAACAATAAGAAATAACTTTCAAAATATTAGTAAGGGCAATGAAAAGACCTAGATAATGCTCCCAGGTGATTTTATTTTTGCTCTTCTAGATGAAATGTTACTTCATCTATAGATTATATGATCAGAAACACTTCCATTAATAAACATTCACTTTACTAATTTTTACTATTAGATCTATTTTAAACAACTGAGGCTACTCAAATAAATTAATAGGATTTTATAAGAAAAACAAAAATTGAACAAAAGCCATATACCTAGACATTTCATTTTAACTTAAAAAAACAAACAAAAAACCTTGACTTGATTCAGTGTTAGTTTCAATATGCAAAAAAAAAAAAAAAAAGAAGAAGAAGAAGAAGAAGAATGTAAAATTGAATGTCCAAAGATTACCGCTGCTGTAACCTAAACAAAACTGAATTGCCTCACGGGTTTTTTTTGTTTTTTTTTCCAATTTCTAACTAAAAGGACACCACACCCTCAGGTCTACAGGACACACCCACCACTGTGAGGTTTATTTATAATACAGTTATCAATCAACTTCTACCTGTTCCAATTTTGCAGCTGGCAATGTTATTTATTCTCCAAGGTTACTAATGCTGCATCCACCCACAGCTTGAGAGAACAGAACAGGATAGACAATAGCCAGAAACTCTTCTGAGATATTTTAAAATTGATTCTGTCTTTTGCCTCACAAATCACCTCCTCCTAGTCATAGTACATCTTAGATAAAATCATGTTATAACATGAAGAACACTGCAAAGGGCTGGCAAGATATTTACTGTTTGCTGTATGTGATTTTTTTTAACAGCCAGAAGGAAAACAAAAATTCATCTTCATATCCCCTGACCTGTGACAAGATATTCCCTAAGCTTCACGCTGCTGATAATTCTGATTCTGAGTGATAGCCACTGCTATTTCCTGGATGTTTACTAGGAAATATGTATTTTACATACAGTACAGCAGTGATTTTCAACTTTTTTCATCTCATAGCACATATAAAGTAATTACTAAAATTCTGAAGCACACCAAAAAATATATTTTTTGCTTATTTGACCCCCCAAAATGTATAATTCTGATGCATTCACAGCAGGTGGCTGGTGTTGTATTGGTTGTTGATATTTTTTTAAATTTGACAATCTAATGGAAAAGATTGTCAAATTTAGTCAGTGCCCAGACTAAATAAAAAAAAAAGATTTAGTCAGGGCCCCTGACTAAATAGTCAGATATTTAGTCTGTTTTAAAATTCCTGTGACGCAGCAGTGTGCCTGCTGCAGCACTCCAGTTGAAAATCACGGTGTTCAAGTATCTTGGTGGGTCAGGTCTGAGGTAGAGGGGCGAATCAGTTTAGTTGTCATAGAAATTTTCATGAAATGCCTTAGTTCTTGGAGTGCTTGGGGATGCACACAGGTACCTAATTGCATGTCCAGCTTTGCAAACGCCAAGAAACCCTTTGGTTGCTATAGAGGCTTAAAGGTAAGAACAGTGAAGAAGGAAAGGAAGACAAACTATAAGGAGGGACAGCTGAGCCCCAGAGAGAAACTGGCAAGAGTGAGGAAGGATTGAGGAAGTGGGCACTACCTATAGCTGGATCTGGCTACTGAGGGAGCAGCAATACTGGATTCAGTGGGAGACTCTGCTCCGACCACTGTGTCTCCCAGTCCTGCTGGGTTATCAACATTCCTTGAAAAGTAGAGGATGATTTTAACAACCATATCACAAGGAGTCTCCCAACTAACACCACAGTGGAACCCTGCTCTGAAAGTGCTGGGA